GGTCATAGGTTTAGGAAAGCTGAAAGAAAGGTTCTAGAAAGCTTTCCAGTGTGCATTCTTTACTGGAGTGACTTTGCATTGCTCAGATCCAAACTTTTCACCAGTCCTCTGAGAGACCTGCCTTCTTAACTCATTGACTCCAAGAATCTGCCCAAATGCTCAGGGCTATTATCATTCTTTATTATTATCAGTTGCTGAGCGTTTACCATCTGCTAGAATTAGAGATATGGAACTCAACACATTTTCTTATTTAATCCCTTTACCAAGTCTATTTTGCCAAAGAGGAAACTGAGGCTCAGGAAGTTTATATGACTTGTCCAAGGTCATAAAGACTAAAGTAAGTAGCAGAGCTGGGATTTGAGTCCAGATATTCTGGGTCCAAATCACAGGCTCCTATCCATTGTGCTATTCTAACTTTCATAATAATAACAATAATAACAACAATGACAGTAATAAGAAACATTTATTGAGAATTTACTAGGAGCACGCACTTCAGAAGGTAGGTACTTCATTCTTATATTAAAAGTAGGAAAACGGTAGCTCAGAGAGAATAAATAACTTTCCTGAGGTTGTATAATTAGTAAGTAGAGAAGCATCTCCCAAAGCATATTCTGCACAACACTGATCTTCAAAGGAAAAATTGTCCGTGGTCATTTAAATATGGAAACCATTGCTCTTTGGCAGCTTTGCAGAGCACATCAGCATATTCAAGTCTCCTGTTACTGCTGTGGTAAAGAGTCCTGATTAACTTTGGGTAGGCCAGCATTTTCCAAATCAGTTTAATCAGGGAAACTGAGCCTTCCAATACCAACCGACATCCCACAGAACTAGCACATCACTCTACAAGGATAGATTGACTTTAACTAGACTCACCAGCCACTAACCAGGTTCAGTAGCCTGGGAGATAAAACTGAAAAGCCATGTTTTCTTTTGCAATGGAAATTAGGCTGATGAGCACTAGATACTAAACAAATACTTGAATCTTCCACTTCAACTTAATTTTTTTTTTATTGGCAGAGCTCCTTGGGAGGATAAGGCATCTGCTAATATGCTCATTTTCAAGGACACCTGATGATGGGGGGGAAGGTAGGAATCCAGGAGGCAAGTCCTGGGAATGCTCTGGGATCAGGTCAGGTGGACCAAACTCACCGCCCTCCTAGCTAGCCTCCAGCACTGACACCATCCAAACCCTGGGGACTTCCAGAAGCRGTTTAAATTTATATTTGTAAACATAAAGGTTTGCAAAGTCCAAACCCCTTGACGTGGCCTACAAGCCTGGCAGGAGCAGGCTCCTAGATGCTGTTCCACTACGGCTCCTCCTACTACACCCACCAACCAATCTTCTTTCAGTTTCTTCAGGATCCACGCCTTGATCTTTGCACATGCTCTTTTCTCTGCTTGGAGCATTGTTCTAGGTTTTCCTTTCCACGTGGATTGTTTACTCCTCTTTTGACCACTCTTTATCTTATTTCCTCCAGAAAATCCCCTAGTCTGGTTAGGGGTTCCTACCAAAAAAACCCCACCCAGTATTCTATACATCCTTTAAAAGGCATAGTTATCCCACAGTATCGTAATCATCTGATCATGTTTTAGTATCTGCCACTATGTGTGTGCTTAGATTGTAGTTATTAAGCAATGGCCTTGTCAATATTTATATCCACCACTTGGATGGCATCATAAAATGGCACATTGTAGAAATCCTGGAGGGCAGGAAGATAGAATCTTAAATGTATTGAATGTACAGTTAGGGTATAAAATTACTTTAAGAGCAATAAGCCAATTCAATAAAAAGGAATTTACTATGAATCTACATAAGACCTCAAAATTGAGCTTAAAAGAAGAAAAAAATTGCATAAACAAAAATGGCCCAAAGCAGCACATATTAGTGGTTTGTAGGGATCTGAATTGACATTTAACTCAATATTCAGGGAAAGGACATTAGAAAACATTTTCAAGGGTCTTGCTTCATCAGATCCTTAATATAGATCTGCAGTAAGGTGTGTCTAAGATACTAATGAAACCTCAAACTGAATTAATAGAAATACACTATTTATTTATTTATTTGGTACTGAGGATTGAACCCAGGGGCACTTAACCACTGCGCCACATCCTCAGCCTTTCTTATTTTTTCATTTTGAGTCAGGGTCTTGTTGAGTTGCTTAGAACCTCACTAGGTGCTGAGGCTGGTCTTGAACTTTCCAGTTCTCCTGCTTTGGACTCCAGAGATTATAGGGGTGCACCACTGCACTCTGCAAACTACACTATTTATTTTGAAAGATGTAGTGATTCTCATTGTAGTTTATTTTAAAAAAAACCACAGCCAGACTAATGTGCTCAGTTCCAGGGAAAACACCTCCAGAGAGGAATCGACAAAATGAAATACATTCCAAAACAAATGATAGGTAGAAGTTCTGAAAATAATRTCGTACAGAACAGCTGAAGAAATGGAGACTCAGAGGAGGCCTAAGAGAAGTCTCTAAATACCTGACAAGTGCCAGATGAAATGAATAGGGGACTTCCTCTATATTTATCCCAAAATCAGAACCAGGATCAACAACTAGAAAAATTATAGGGAGGCAGATGTCCATTTATCTCAAAAGAATTTTTAAAATCATGAGACTTGTTCAAAAATTAATTGTTTGGCCTGTGAGAGAGTTTTCTGCTCACTCAGAGACTGGGAGCTCAGGTTCTAGGACTTTCATGGAGATGGTTCGTGCAGTGTGTAGTAGGTTGACCAGATGGTTCAGAAAGTGCTTCTGTGAAGTTGTGATATTCATAGATTTCTTCCATGGGTAATGATGAGTGAGGAATTTATTAAATCTATTCCTGAGGACTTAGATTTGGAGGTATTTTTAAAAAAGTATTTAAAAGCACTGTGCTAAAAAAAGAAGACCAGAGGAGTTGGTCACTGAACTCATTTTCACCTGGGACATCAATGTTCCTCCAGCTCCTTCTTGAACTCAGGCTGGTTGAACTCTGGGGATTGTGACCTTAATAAAGTCAGAAAACTTAGGAGAAGGCAGATTGGATAATAAAGGTCTAGAAAATTAAACATAACAGAAAGAAAGTTCCCTTCAGGGGACCATATACTACAACAGGCTTCTGAGATGAGGCAAAAATAAAACAGCATTCTGCATTTTCTGCTGTAATGCGCTACTCAGAGTAACCCATGGAGCACCACGCCACCTGAATGGCTCTGTCAGAGCTCATGTTCCACAAGCAACTGTACACCTAGGAGCCCACCATGTGCCAGACATAGTGCCAGGCCCATGTGTCACATATCACTACATCTTCATAGAAGTTCTCAAAGTTTTAGTATGCTAATTTTAAAAAGGTAATTAGCTTATGGCTGCCAGGAGGCAGGGAGGTTGGGAGGGAAAGTTTGAAGAGCCAGGGACATAATATAGTCCCCCAGGACATGCCTCTAGCCACCTGCTTCCTCCAGTCATGCCCCATCTACCTACAGTTTACCACCCGCCATTTCTTTCAGCCATCAGTGGCTTAATTCATCCAATGGATTAATCCACTTTTGATTTCAGAACCTTAATCATTGGCTATAAGCCCACCTCTGTGCCTTGCTGCATTGGGGATCATGCTTTGAACTCATGAGCTTTTCAGGGGACATTTCAAATGCAACCTATAACAAACAGAACCCAGCTTCCTAGTTTTACCTATGAGGGAAAAAAGGGACCCAAGGGGACCAGGAATCCTGCACAAGATTCCTGTATAAAAGCAAAGATGTCTTTGGAGCACTGCAGAGAGATGCCTTAGCATGTGTATAAGCTCAGAAGCTGTGTTCTCAGAGAGTAGCATGTTTACAGCCACAAGGGAGAGTTGTGTAGCAGGCAGAGTTAGGGACAGGGGGGGGCAGAAAGCCAGGGGCAGCCCACCAGCCTTGTCCCCCCAGTGACCCTGTAGAATGTCAAGTGCACATACAGAAGTCAGCCTCCAGAGTCAGTCTTCTAAACGACGGCATAGACAAGTAGTTGGCATTACTTTCCCATGAAGCRATCATTTGCAGAAGAGAATGGTAAAGGACAAGAGGGGAGCGAACCTCTATTCACGATTATTATGTGTTAGACTCTGCTAAGTCCTTTTATGTGCCATTTCATGTCATCTCATGTCACTTTCACAGAGATGTCAGCTCCTGTATCATGCTTCTGAAACGAATGTTGKTATCCTCATTTTATGATGAGGAAACGAGTTTAAGTAATGGAGAGGAAATTAGATGACTAGTAAACATGGAACTGACATATATACTTCTGATTCCAAAAGACAGGAACATCCTGGAAATTTTGACATCAAACAGACCGGGGTTTGACTTCCAGATGGGTCATGAGGCAATGAAAGGCTGGTTCTTGCTGTGTAAATGGAAGCGATCATACTTACCACATAGAGATGTCATTTTCCTGTCTCCAGACCTGTTCCCTCTCTTCCCTGCCTCTGAGGGACCAGGTCTACTTTTAGAATTACACAAGGATGGGGCATTTGACCTTTCCTGTGGGAAGAGGAGAATTTTGGATTAATGGCCAACTTTGTCCTTAGAAGGTCCCTTTGAGGCTTTGTCAGATTCAATTCTCCCCTTTTGAAAGATAGGAAAATTGAAGTGGCTGTGTCACATAGGGAGGCACAGTCATGACGGGAAGAGGCTAACATAACACAAACCAGCATGAGACTGAGAATCTGAAGACTTGAACTCTGGCCCTCGCTTCTCTGTGTCTAGATCTATTAGAGAAGCATCCGTCTCTCCCAAAGTGAGTGTCCTGTGATCTGAAATGAGACCAGGGATAGAAAAAGCTTTAACAAATCCTCTTCCAAAGCAAGAATATCACGAGAGGCTGACTCTCAAATTGGCTCCACGCCCCGTCCCTGTGCAGAGTTTCATTCAACAGAACTGCTTTCCTTCTTTTTTTTGGGGGAAAAAAAATCTTGGTTTTTTGAGATTGTATTGCAACCACAGTTACTTAACGGTGTCCTCTGCTTGTTTTCTCTGTGTGTAGACTTCCTGAATGTCACAGCCGTTCACCTGTTCAAGGAGAGATGGGACTCCAACAAGATCGATCACCACACTGACAAGTACGACAACGACAAGTTGATTGTCCGTCGAGGACAGTCTTTCTATGTCCAGATTGACTTCAATCGTCCCTACGATCCCAGGAGGGATTTATTCAGGGTGGAATATGTCATTGGTGAGTACTATGTGCAAGACCTACTCACGATACCATGGTTGAATTGCAGAGAAAGGTGGATATTGCATGATTTCCTTGCATCATATTTAACAATGGTTGGTACTGAGATTACATCCAGCCTCTGGATGGGTCACTTCTAAGATGGGTCTGCATCATGCCCTACATCCACAATTTGAGCCTACACTGGTAAAAAAAAAATCTAGTATAAATAAAAGTAAAATTGGTTGGCATAAAATGTTAATTAACTAAAGTATTTTTCTCCAAACAAATCGGTTTTGGCATCGTATAGTCATGATGTTTTATTGACCACCATGTTGGGTCTTGTGTGCTGAAACTATTTGACAATCTTAGCACATGATCTCCACATATGCATTTCCCAAAGTGTGTTCTGAGCTAATCTCATGGGTTGGTCCATGAAAACTAGATGATCCAGCAAAGTTCACTAAACACTCCATGTTCAGAATCTCCTCTTGAAAGATTGACAATGCACATTAGCATCAAAGGTTCTGGGAAGTAAGGTTTAACTTTGTTTGGTCCAGTGACTTTCAAATTAATTTGATCATGGCGTCCTTTTATTAAGTTATACCTACTAACATTTGACACATTTTGGCAAACATTTCTCTAGGAATTTACAAAACAATCATGGAAACATGTGCACAGAAAAGTAAGGGTGGCTTAGTAGAAGGAAATCTGTCAATCATCCCTCATGTGAATTAAGGGACAAACTTAGGCAATCAATCAATAGTGCCTGAAAGATACATGGTAAAATTCAGCAGGCATTTGTACACAAAGCTTAAGAAAAGTAAAAGTAGAAGTTCTTCAATCATAATAAAGATTATTTACCTCCAAACAAAATTTAAGTGGAAAAATTTTAACAAATTTAATTCTAACCACAAATTAGAAAACCCTATCGCTACCCTTTTTGTCTTAAAGCCTTGCTTCAAAAATTTTAGAAAATGAAAAATATAGAAGTATCTGCTATAAATACTGAAAAATAAGAGGAAAAAGTTCACATTTTGCTAAAATTATGATTGTGTAAGTGAAAAACCCAAAATATTCAAGGCAGAAAAGTGCAGTATTTATAAAACTTGGCAAATGACTAGACAGAAGATAAATGCATAGAAATCAACAGCTTTTACCTTTGTCTAGAAAATTTCTATTTGTAATAGAAATTTTAATTTCTGATAGAAACAAATTTTTTATTTCTAAATGTCTAATAGAAATTAGAAAAACATATTTCATACATGATAGTGACCAAAAGTTTGAAAAGTCAACCAAATTTTATAAAGCAAGATTCAAAATGTATATACAGCATCTATTAAATTTTAATGAAAGACATAAGAAATCAATGAAAAGGCAAACATGTTCTTGGATGGGAAGTTTCACAATATATTTTTTAAAACTCTCCCAAGGTGTTAGGCAAAGGGTATAAAATTTCAGTTTGGAGAACAAGTTTTATGATCTATATTACACAGAATGGTGGACTAGTTAAAAATAATGTATTATATATTTCAAAACTACTAAAAAAGTAGTCTTTAGACAGGTGAGTGGCACACACCTGTAACCCAGTGGCTCGGGAGACTAAGGCAAGAGGATCACGAGTTCAAAGCCAGCCTTAGCAAAAGTGAGATGCTAAGCAACTCAGTGAGAYCCTGTCTCTAAATAAAATACAAAATAGGGTTAGGGATGTAGCTCAGTGGTCAAGTGTCCCTGAGTTCAATTCCAAATACCAATAAAAAAGAGTAGACTTTAAATGCTCATACCCTAAATGGTAAGTAGGTAAGGTGAAGGTGATGGATATGCTGAATAGCTTGATTTAGTAATTGCATGATGTACATAATATCACATTGTACTTCATATATATATATATATATATATGTATATATAATTATTATTTATTAATTTGTTAAAGTCTTCCAGTTAGAATCCCAATGGAGTTTTAAGGGCCTTCTGGTTTTTTATTTTGTTTTTCTTTTGGACTTCAATAAGACAGTCTTAAAGTTTATTTAAAAGAATAATTGCCTGACAAATCCCAACAACAAACTACACAAAAATTAAGAAGATACTCTATTACTTATATCAGAAGCAGCTATTGAGTCATACTATTGGTTCATACTAGGAAATCTACAAGTATATTTTAGTATATAAGAGAAGTTAGAGATTTCATAGAGTAAAGAGATGTATATGGGGTTTTTTATTTGTTTTCTGTTTGTTTGTTTTTTTTTTTAATAAAAGAAACCAGAAACTCTGGCTCTCTAATTCAAAAAAAATGAAAAATTGATTCTCATACCATATKCAGTAATAAATATCATATTGCATAAATATTGGTGTAAAACACAAAAAATTACAAGAAGATTTGTGAGAAAATTGAACAGATTAAACTAAGTTTGTGAACACTGAAAATTTAGAAAACAAAAATTGTGTAAACATATCAAACTAGGATGGAAGAACATGGCCGCCGGCGAAGAGGCAGCACATTCAAGGCGTCCGTGGTAAGGGGATCAGAGAGACTCATTAAT